TGGCTTCCTCAGGTACTGAATACATATGGGGCACAGATAGACATACATTCAGCCAAAACACCTATACACATTAAAAAAAAAAACTTAAAAAAAAAACACATTTCTGGGCTTGGCATGGTGGCATACACCTTCAATCCCAGCACTGAGGAAGCAGAAGCAGCCCAATCTTTATAAATTCAAGGCCAACCTGGTCTACCTAGTGAGTTCCAAGCCAGGCAGGACTACATAGTGAGACCCTTTTTGTAAAACAAACAAACAAACAAATACATTACATTACATTACATTACATTACATTACATTACGGAGAGAATCCAGTCTGAAAATGCTATGTTGTAGGCTCCAACCCGTGGTATTCTGGAAAAGACAAGTCTGTGCAGACAGGGAAAAAAATGTGGGGGCTTCCAGGGGTGCTGAGGCAGAGGGTGGGGACTTAAATGGTAACCCATGCCATTCTGCACTTGTCAGATCGAGAACATGCACCAAAAACAGTATGAGCTGTAGGCAATGGGTGGCAATGGTGATTCTGGAGGGTTTTGGTTTAACAGAGACATCACCCTGGTGAGGATCCTGCTAGAGGAAGCCTGTGCATGTGGGGGTTGTATTGTCAAGGGCATTTGGGAAATCTCTGTACTTGATGCTCGGTTTTTCTGTGAAGCTGAAAAGGCTTTTTGTTTGTTTGTTTGTTTTGGTTTGGTTTGGGTTTTTTTTTTTGGTTTTTCTTTTTCTTTTATTTATTTATTTATTTATTTTTATTATGTATGCAGTGTTCTGCCTGCGTGCCAGATCTCATTACAGATGGTTGTGAACCACCATGTGGTTGCTGGGAATTGAACTCAGAACCTCTGGAAGGGCAGCCAGTGCTCTTAACCGCTGAGCCATCTCTCCAGCCCCTTTTTTTGTTTTTTCGAGACAGGGTTTCTCTGTGTAGCTTTGAGCCTTTCCTGGAACTCGCTTTGGAGACCAGGCTGGCCTCGAACTCACAGATATCTGCCTGCCTCTGCCTTCCGAGTGCTGGGATTAAAGGCGTGAGCCACCACCGCCTGGCAAAAGGCTTGTTTTAGTAAAATAAGCAGAGGATTGGGCTAGGAATGTGGTAGTGTGCTGGTAACCAAGTATCCACAAAGCCCTAGATTTGATCCCTAGCACCACACAAACTGGAAGTGGCCACACCTCTAATCCTAGTAATCAGGAATAGAGGGGTAGAGGTAAAAGGTTCAGTTCATGAGCATCCTCCACTATATTGTGAGTTTCAGGCCAGCTTGAGATACAAGGGACCCTGCCTCATTAAAAACAAACAAATAAAGGCAAGTGATTACTGTGCCTGGTGTGGTGGGACATGCCTGTGATCTTGGCACTCTGGAAGATGAAGCAAGAGGATTGACTGCAAGTTCTAGGCCAACTGGGTTACATATTAATACTGTCACAAACAAACAAAAATCCAACCGAGCAAATAAACAAGTGTGAAAAAGAATGCTAGAAATTTGTCCCAAAAGGTCAAGGTCAATTGAAATGTTTTGGGCAGAGAGAGAAAAAGAGAGACACTGGGGGGGCTGGAAACTGCCTAGTGCCATTTTCCTGCTCACAACCCCCTGGCACCTACCTTCCTTCCCTATAAAAACCCTGTCTTCCTTAAGATAGTCGCCTCCCATTTCCTCACTCCATGGCCACCGTGTGGCCCTACAGAGATGGATGTGTGCCTTGAGCCGCATGACAGATATGCTGTTGGGCACGTTTCGTCCTGAGACAGTCGTCAGCATGTTGGTCTCAGGCCATCTGACTAGTTACTCCACTTCTGCAATCTTGGTGCAGCATGCCTGAAGTTATTGCCTCACCAAGCAAGGACAAATAAACAGCAGTGGCCACAGCCTAGCACTCCCTGATAGGTCCCCGGGGATACTGTGCAGCCTCAGTATGGCTGTGTCTGACTTTCAGAGCCCGAGCTGCTTCCTGTTCTGAACATTCTCTGGCAAGTCCAGTCCAGGCTTTTATCAAAGAACACCCTTTCCTTCCCCGGGGATCTCACTTTGGAGCCAACTGGGACGCTGCACAAGTACAAACTTGGGACCTAAAGTGTGTGCATGTTGTTTACAATTCTGAATATTTCATCACGCCAGCTTCTAAAAATAACTTCGTGTGGCATAGGCGCCACTGTGAATTCCTGGAAAAGTGGGTGTTTTCCTGGAGGAGGGAAGGAGCCAGAACAAAGTGGTCAGTACGGCTTGATGCAGGAGAGCCCTGCCAGAAAGGTGGAAGACTCCCAGCAGGTTCCTTGGCGTTAAGCCACCCTTCCTGTCTCCCACGTCAGAGGCACATCTCTTGGTAACAGCCACCAGGGCTGGATTCATTTCAGTTACCCACTTCTGGTTCTGTACTATGGAGAAACAAACCCTTGTTATAATCCCTTTCTCCCAGTGCCCTGTGACTTCTCCCAGCTGGGTGAGAGTCACGTCTGTCACTTCTGCCACCTTTGGCTCATGTACCATATCTTCTTTTTGCTTTGGGCTGTCACTATGGCAATTATTATGCCATGGACAGTGTGGCCATCCAGACCCTCAATTTTATTCTGGCTCTGTGCTCAGAAAAAACTGTACTGTTTGCCAGAGAGGTCTGCTGTGATGGTTAGTTCTACTTTTTATTTATGTTTAAATTATTTATCTTTGTGTGTGTCTGTGTAAGAGTCTGCCAGGTGTGTGCAGGTACCACTGGAAGCCAGAAGAGGACCAAAACTGGGGTTCGCAGCAAGTCCTCCAAACTGCTGAGCCATTTCTCCAGGGCCCTTCCCTTAAAACGATTTATTTTTATTTTGTGTGTGTAAGGGTGCTTTGCCTGTGTGTATGAATGCAGACCACAAATGTGTATTGCTTATGGAGGCCAGAAGTGGGCATCAGATCTGGAACTGGAGTTACAGATGGTTGTGAGCTACCATGTGGGTACTGGGGATTAAACCCTGGTCCTGGAAGAGCGCCCAGTGTTCTTAACCCGAGTCATCTCTCCAGCCCCAATGGTTAATTTTAATTGTCAACTTGACACACCCTAGAATTACCTGAGACTAGAATCTCAACGAGGAATTTTCTAGATGGGCTTGGCCTGTGGGGAATACCTGGGAGGGATTATCTTGACTGCCTTAGCTGCTGCGAGAAGACCTGGCCTAAAGGTGCAAAGCACAATTTCTAGGTTTGGAGCCTTAGGCCTTACAAGAATAGAGGAATCAAGCAGAGTGTTAGGTCCACACATTCTTTACCCATGACTGTGGATATGGTGTGATAGAAGCACGGTTCCTGCTTTGACTTCCTGGCAGTGGTAGACCACAACCTGGGATTGTGAGCTAAAATAAATCCTTTCTTCCAAAGCTGCTTTTTATCAGCCTATCTTATCTCAGCAACAGAAACAAAATTAAGGCATCACTCTCTACTTCCTGTGCCCAGGGTAGAAACAAGCTTCAGTATACATTTAAATGTGAGCATAAAGGGAGAGTGAGAAGAGGAGACTGTGGAAAGGGTGGCACACACCCCACATGTGAGCGTGGCTTCTGGAGAGTCACCACTTAGCTTCCACCCTGATGTAGTCTGCATCCCAGTTGCTTGCTCTGGTTCAGACTGTAGACACTCCACGTAAAGGAAAACAGCTCACCTCAAGGCCAGGTGTTATGGTGCAGGACTGTAATCTGATCGGCAGCTCAAAATCATAGTGAATTTGAGGTCAGTCTGGGCTACATGAGAGCCTATCTCAAAGCAAAATAAAACAGTCTCAAACATCAAACAAAAAAGATATGCTTGCTTCGGTTACAAGCAGAGCTTCCATAAAGAGGGATAGCCTAGGGGTCCCTTATTGTGCGTGGGGTTACTGAAGGGCATATAATGGAAATATTAAGGGCCTAGATAAGGCTACCCTATGACAGATAACCTTACAACCACCTTAATCTTCCTATTAAATTTTCTTTTCTTTTTTTTTGGTTTTTCAAGACAGGGTTTTTCTGTGTAGCCTTGGCTATTCTGGAACTAGCTCCACAGACCAGGCTGGCCATGAACTTACAGAGATCCACCTGCCTCTGCCTCCTCAGTGATGGGATTAAAGGCATGCTTCCCCCCGATACACACACCCCCAGTTAGTTTATAGATCTTAATTGGCATTGATATTTTTGGTCCTGAGTCAGGCAATACTTCATGATAACAGAATAAATATGCCAGGGAGCTGGGCAGAGGAGTTGATTTTAAAAAGGGTCGAAAGGATACAGGAGACATAAAGCTGATCATGTCAGTTACTTCCCCTATAAAGTAGAGAAGAAAAAGGTCTGCAGGGGCCAGTGCGACGGCCCAGCTGGTAAATTAAAAAAAAAAAAAATGCCTGGCCTGAGTTTGATTCCCTAGAACCTATGCAGAGTGGAAGGAGAGAACAGAGTTCACCAAGTTGTCTTCTGACCTCCACATTCCATCCCTGGCCCTGACAACCCCCCCCTACACACACATAATACTACTACTAATACTAATAATAAATTAAAACCATACCAAACAAGACAGGCCCCTTGTTTTTGACTTACTGAGTTTGGTTTTTGCCTACATGTATGTCTGTATACCATTTGCTTGCCCGGTGCCCGGAGGCAAGAAGAGGGTGTGGAATTCCCTGAAACTGGAGTTACTGTGATGAGCCTCTATGTTAGCAGTTCAAACCTGTGGGTCTCCACCCGTTTGGGGGTTTGAATGACCCTTTCACAGGGGTTGAATATCAGATATCTTACATATCAGACATTTACATTACGATTCATAACAGTAGCAAAATTACAGTTATGAAGTAGCAACAAAAATAATTCTATATGGTTTGGGGGTCACCACAACATGAAGAACTGTACGAAAGGGTCAGACCATTAGGAAGGTTGAGAACCACTGCTCTGTGCGGTTCTGGGAATTGAACCTGAGTTCTCTGCAAGAACAGCCAGTGCTTTTAACCTCTGAGCCCTCTTCTCCAGCCCTTAAACTGCTATTTTCACATGTGTATTCCTTTAGGATAATGCTTTTTGAACTGAGGTACCGGAGAAGCAGAACCTACGTTCAAGATCCTGGCAATGCCTGACCTTGGCTGAGAGCATGTTGACTTTGGAGATGGAAAGCTGTAAGTCAAGAACCCAAATGGTCTCAGGCTATCTTTAGCTCCCTTTGGAGGGTATTTACTAACCACCCCAGGATCTGCCCTAACATCCTCTTAACTAAGGGTAACACTCTTGGAATGTATAGCTCACCTTGCCTGCCTAGGCTCCCTGCCCTCAGGCTCAGAACTTGACATCGATGGCATCTAACCCCAGATGTTCCCACCATCCTCTTATCTACCCACCCTCACCTCCTGTCCTTCACCTATGCGTTCTGTCAACACATTGATTTTTGGCTTTCTGTTTGGTGACTGTCAAAGTTTCTATAACCTTAAGTGGGTGTGGAAGAGCCATGTTGCAATCCTAGTGTCATGGAGGCTGAGACAGGAATATTGCCATCCATGAGCTGGAGTCCAGCCTTGGCTTCATAAAGAGACCTTGTCTCAAAAACATAATAAATAAATAAATAAATAAATAAATAAATAAATAAATAAATAAATAAATAAATAAATGCCTTTTTTGTGGTAGAGAGTCATTTAGGATAATTTGATCCTTGTTTCTGGGCGGTTGTCACTCTGTTTTTTCTTTTTGTCAGTGTTAGAGATTGAGCCCAGGACCTCACACGTGCTAGGGAAGAAATCTACACTTAGCTATATCCCTAGTCTTCTTTTTTTTTTCCCCAGACAGTCTCTTGTAACTCCGACTTAACTTTGAACAGATCATCCTCCTGCCGCTACCTCTCACAGGCTTCAATTACACATGTGGGCCACCACTAGAAGATGTGGCTTTGTTGGAGTGGGTATGGCCTTGCTGAAGGAAGTATGTCACTGTGGAAGTGGGCTTTGAGGTTTCCTATGCTCAGGATACTACCCAGTGTCTCAGACAACTTCCTCTTGCCCACAGGATGTACGACTCTGAGTTATTCCTTCATGCATGCTGCCATGCTCCTTGCCACGATGATAACAGACTGAACCTCTGAAAGTGTAAGCCAGTCCCCTCAATTAAATGTTTTCTTTATAAGAGTTGCCGTCATGGGTGTCTTTTCACAGTAATAGAAAACCCTAATAAAGATACTGTCCTATACTTGAACTTACTGCATGGCTCAGGCCGTCAAGATGACTCATCTGGTAAGAGTGCCTGTCAGCAGGGACTCACAGTGTGGAAGGAGAGAACTAACTCTTTTAAGCTGTCCTCTGACCTCAATAAATGAGCACGGCATGAGCATCCCCACACATGTGTAAATAAATACATTTTAATGAATTTATGATCTTGTCTTGGCCGCTAGAATGCGAAAATTATAGGTGTGAATTACGACATACAGTCAAATATAATTTCTTTAAAGAATAAATTACTAGCCCAGTGTGGGGAACCATGCTTTTTAATCTCAGCACTAAGGAGGCGGAGGTAGGGGCAGGTGTATCTATCCTGGTGAACATAGTGAGTTCCAGGACACCCAGGGCTACACAGTGAGATCCATCTCTCTCTCTCTCTTTTCCTTTTTTTTTTGTTTTGTTTTTTTTTTGAGACAGAGTTTCTCTGTGTAGCTCTGGCTGTCCTGGAACTCACTTTGTAGACCATGCTGGCCTTGAACTCACAGAGATCCACCTGCCTGACAATCCTATCTCAATAAATGAATAAAATAAAGAACTTAACATTTTCTGAGTTTTTTTAATTTAAAAATATTTTTGCATTTATTATTTATTAATTAATAATTAATATACATGTGCTTGCTCTTGGTATAAGTGAAGGTTAGAGGGTAACTTATGGGCATGAGATTTTTCCTTCTACCATGTGAATTCTGGGGATTGAACTCGGGTTGTCAGACTTAATGGCAAGGTCCTTTACCTGCTGAACCATCTCCAAGGCCCTTGTTTTATTTATGTTATGTTATGTTATGTTATGTTATTTATTTATTTATTTATCTACCTATTTATCGTGACAGCGTCTCATGTAGACCAGGCTAGTCTTAAACTCACTATGTTGGTAAAGCTCAGCCTGGAACTCCTTCTGGCCGCCATCCCAAGTGCTGGGATTATAAGTACACCACAGCTGGCTAGAAGTTGTTAATAAATGTCCCAGATTTCTGAGCCACACTACTGGCATTATTTGTTTAGTCATGAATGGAGGTGAGTATGTCTGGGGTATTGTGGCAGTTGAGGGAAGGATTCACTGAGACTTTCGATGGGTATGGAGTATGTAGTGGTTTGAAAGAAAGTTACCCCCGAGGAAGTGGCACTATTAGGAGATGTGGCCTTGTTGGAGTAGGTGTGGTCTTGTTGGAGGAAATGTGTCACTGTGGAGGTGGGCTTTGAGGTCTCATATAGGCTCAAGCCATGCCCACTGTCTCAGATCACTTCCTGTTACCTGCGAGTCAAGATCTAAGGACTTTCAGCTACTTCTGCAGCACCGTGTCTGCCTGCACACTACCTTGTTGAACCCTGATGATAATGGACTAAACCTCTGAAAATGTAAGCCACCTCAATTAAATGTGTTTCCTTTCTAAGAGTTGCCATGGCCATGGTGTCTCTTCACAGCAATAGAAACCATAACTAAGGGGTAAGTTGGAAACTTCACTCAGGAACTGTAAAGTTTTCCCAGAGAGGTTTCTTTTCTTTTCTTTTGACAGGGATTCACCACGTAACTTGGCTGGCCTGGAACTCACTATGTAGACCAGGTTGGCCTCTAATTCACAGAGATCCACCTGCCTCTGCCTCTAGAGTGCTGGGATTACAGGTGTGCTCCAGTAAAGCAACTGGCTGCTTTGACAATTTCTGTTTGTTTGTTTTGTTTTTGTTTGTTTTTTCGAGACAAAGTTTCTCTGTGTAGCTTTGTGCCTTTCCTGGAACTTGCTTTGGAGACCAGGCTGGCCTCCAACTCACAGAGATCCACCTGCCTCTGCCTCCCAAGTGCTGGGATTAAAGGCGTGCGCCACCACTGCCCGACTGCTTTGACAATTTTTATTGAAGGGTCTGAAGAGGTGGAAAACCCCTTTCCCTTGAAAAACAAATGTCTACAATACTCAGGAGGCAGAGGCAGGTGGAACTCTGATTTTGAGGTCAGCCTGGTTTACATAGTGAGTTCCAAGACAGTTAGGGCTACGTAGAGAGAGATCCTGTCTTAATTAATTAATTGATTTGTTGATATATTTCATGTAATACAATAGAATATACAAATTCATAGAGACAGAAAGATTAGATGTTATCTCAAGATAGAGAAGAAAGGAATATAGAGCAATGATTTACTAAGTACAGAATCTCTGTTTTGTGTGATGGAAAAACCCCACAAATAGACAGTAGTATCAGGACATAATATCATGAATGTAATAAATCAATATAATTAATGTAATTAATGAATATCGTAAATATAATTATTGAATGAATACTGCAAATGTAAGCAATGAATACCACAAATGTAATTAATAATCATGAGTGTAATTAAAAGAATAAATTATAAAACAAAACCAAAACAAGACAAAAAAACAAAGTTGGGAAAGACAAAGAGACTAGACATAATATCTTCAAGAGAGTTTCTGCTACCTAGAACAGACCTTAGGAAATTAGGAGCCTTATTTATTAAATATACCTAATTCATAAAAAATGATAAACATGTCTACTTATAACATTCCTAAACCCTTCTAATCCACGTTTTTCTATTTTCTTTTTTTAGTATACTGTGTAGAGAATTTCCAGGCCATTTTCTTTTTCCCTTTGTTATTCAGGCACACATAACTATGCAACTGGGGATTGAACCCAGGGCCTTGGGCATGCAAGACATGGTGAGTCTATTGCCAAGCAGCACCACGGCGGCTCTTGTTTCTTTCTTGCATGGTGTGGTAGTATGCCTGTATTCCTAGCACTTCTGAGGTTGAGACAAAGTGGTTTGGTGCTGGAGCTCAGTAGTGGAGAATGTGTTTAGTACCTGGAAGGCCCTAGGCTGGGTCTCCAGCACTGTAAGAACGAAAAATTTCGGTTGAGAGTGGTGATGCTGTCTGTAACCCCAACACCTGGGGGGATGGGGCACAAGGATGGAAAGTTTAAGACTAGCCTAGGTTACACAGTGAATCTGTCTGAAAACACATCCAACAAGGTCTGGTGACATAGCTCAGTGTACTTGCCTAGCATGTGCTAGGCCCTGGGTATAATCTCAGCACTCCAAACAAAACAAAAAAGAAGTCAGAGCTGCACAGCCGTAATCCCAGAACTGGGAGGTGGAAGCAGGAATTCAAGGCTAGCTTTTGATACACAGACATTTCAAGACCACCCTCCATTATGACACCTTGTCTGGAAAAGAAAAACCACCGAAGAAGTTGCTTCTTGTGACCCCACCCACTGCTGCTAACACAGCTTCTTTTAAGATTCACACTTCCCTTCTCTATCCCAGAACTGTATCGAGAGGGAATTCCAACCTCCAAGAACAGAGGATTGACCGGATAGGGTACAGGGACAGTGCAGAATCTTTCTCAACACTGGCCCTCCAACGGTCTCTCCAATTCTGTTCCCGTCCAAAAATGCTGTTCTTCCCCGCCTGCAGACTGCAGCTTGCCATGGCACTCCACAACTCGCCATCGTCGCTGCAGCAGAATGCTGGCAATTTTTTTTTTTTTTTTTGCTTTGCTTTATTTTAGACAGCTTCACACTGTGCAGCCCAACCTGGCCTCGAACCAGGGCTTGGACTCCAGGCATACACAGCCACTCGAGGATTGGGGGCGTTTCTTAAAAGAAATCGTATCTGTAAGCGTGCACAGAGCCAGCGAGACCACCGCGTGCTCCCGTCGCTGGCGCCCGCAGGTTCGGGAGCTAGGGGCACAGAGTGGGTCAACCGCGGGCAGCAGGGGTAGGCTCCACACCTACGCCCGCCGCACCAGAGCCTGACGGTTGGTTCTCCACGCCACGCCTACCTCAGGGCCCGCCCAGGCCATGCCCACTTTAGCCCGGCTTCAGGCCCCTCCCCTAGCGCCTCTGCAATGCACGCACCTCGGAGTCCCAACGCTCCGGCGTCAGGCCTCGCCCCAAGCCTCTCCCCTACCCGCGCAAGTCCTCGTCCCAATTGCTCGAGCCTCAGGCCCCGCCCCCAGCCCCCTCGGTTCCGGAGCTTAAACAGCCGCCCTCCAGCGCACTCCGGCCTCAGGCCCCGCCCCTTCCCCACCCAGGCTCCGCCCTGCGCACGCGCCGCACGTGCCGCACGCGCCCCGCGTTCCTCCTCCACCTGCAAGCCCCGCCCCCCAGCCAATGGGCGCCGCCGCCGCGTGCGTCCCGCCCCGCCCCGCCCCTTGTCCCTCAGCCCCGCGTCGCCTGGCCTCAGAGCTGAGCAGGCTGCGGGTGGCCCTCGTATCTCTCGGTGACCGCCGCTGAGGCCTGCCGCAGTTGGGCTCGGACTCTGTTGCCGAGCCACCATGTCGCAGAGCGGGGAGGAGAACCTGCAGGGTGAGGCTGTGGGCCGAGGGGGACCGCGGGGGCGGCAGGGTCGCGGGCCGGGGTGCGGTGCTTAGAGGCCGCGATGCTGTGAGGTGCGGCCGGGGCTGGGCGATGAGCCTCGGTGCATCTTACAGACAGTCCCTTTACAGTCAGGCAGGGCCGAATCTTTCGTGGTCTGTCGTTCACACTGTCAGTCGTTCTGTGTCTTTACAGTCTCTTTAGTTCAGGCAAGCCTCGAACTCCCTGCGATCCTCTTTCTTCAGCTTCCTGAGTCAAGCTCACATTATTCAGGCCTTCCGCTTCCCCCACGCCTGGTTCAACATTGTCTAAGGGAGCCAGAGGTTTCAGGTTGAATTTTCAGTGCTTTGATTGAACTCGTTAGTATTTATGGTCATAGTGCCTCTCACTTTCCCTACTTGGTACCGGCTATGGAACCAGGTCTGGATGTGCGAGGTAAGAGCTCAACCACTGAGCAACACTACCAGTTTTCATTTTATGCTTTAAGACGTAGTGGCTTTGAACTTGGAACCCTCCTGCCTCAGCCTCTGGAGTAGCTGGGATGAACAGTTCGCGCCCGCCCACCTACCCCCCATCTTTATCCCTGGCTTGCTTTGTCATCTCTTCCTAATGGAAGAGGAGGATCTAAGGCTTCAGACCACTGTTACCTCTTAGAGTTAAAAGATTGTTATCTTGCCAGGTGGTGGTGTGATGGGGCACACCTTTAATCCCAGCACTCAGGAGGCAGAGGCACGCGGATCTCTGAGTTTGAGGCAGCCTGGTTTACAGAGCGAGAGTTCCAGGACAGCCCGGGCTATATGGAGAAACCTGGAGGCGGGCCGGGGTGGGGGTGGGGGGACACGACACGACAGAGAGAGTGTGGAAGAGCTACAAACAACAAAAAGTGGGGTAAAGTGCTTATAATTCTGCTCAGTAGGCTCACTGTAAGCAATGAAGTGATTTGTAGGTTTAGAAGATGGAAGCTAGGCTGGGTGTGGTGAGATGAGACGTCTAAAATCCCATTATGGTGAATCTTAGTCTTGACAAGTTCAAGGTTAGGCTGGACTACACAGCAATACCCTGTCTCACAAACAAACAACAAAAAGGCTCGCTTAGCACGCAGCCTTCACCAGACTAATAGCACTGAGCAGACAGCTGTTAGTTTTGCAAGGCCACCTTGAGTGGTATGTGCCATCATACATTTCTGAGAGCCACCCAGTGGGTCTGAGTTAAGAGCTCAGCCTTAATCCTAAGGACCCAAGAACTGGAGGAGGATCCTGTTGACCTTTGTATTCTCTGAAGCAAGAGTTCACAAAGTAAAATGAGCATGTAAATAAACATGAGAGAGCCATCTAAACCTTTAAAGTGAGTACTTTAACTTTTTTTTCTAAGACAGGGTCTCACTATTCCTGAACTGCCAGAACTCTGCCTCCCTAGTGCCGGGATTAAAGGCATGTGCTACCATACCCAACTTAGTGTGAAGATAGGTTTTTTTTCTTTTATTTTCGAGACATGGTTTGTGTAGCTCTGGGTGTCTGAGAACTTGTTGTGTAGACGAGGCTGTGTCAGAGATCTACCTGCCTCTGTCTACTGGAGTGCTGGAATCAAATCATACAACACCATGCTAGGTTGTGTTAAGAATTTTTAAAAAGCTTTTATTAAGATTTAGTGATCTGCATTTATTACTCTAAATAAGATTTTAGTACAACAGTTTAACCAGCCTAATACATTTTAGAATCTTTATTTTAAAACTACAACCTCATTAGAAAAAAATCTTGTAATTCAGGTTTTACTCCTTAATGTCCAACAGTTGCAGTTTCTCCTTTGATAGACTGTCTTTTCTCTTAAAAATGAGATCAAGGGATGTTTTATAACATTTGCTGTAAAGTCATGTTTGTAGTTATAGAGATTTTATTTCTAACACTGTTACTTAGGTTTCATCTCTGGAAGTTTCTGGGTACTCCTGAGAGGTCTCAGTTACCTTCTAATTCCTTGACATACACTTTAGACTGCTGAGTCATTGGCAAATCGAGGCTGTCATTTGTCATTTCAGGGGTTAAGATGATTTTTGTTTTTCTGCTTTGCTTATTCTATAAAAAGATGGTTACCGTGTGGAAACTCACGCTAAGGATTTGGGCCATTGTTTGGGGTGTACGTGCAGCCCGGCACTGGCTCACCGTCTAGCCCGGGGTAGGAGGGGTCATTTGAGTCACATGGCATATCTCAGCTGCCCTATGAAATGTGAATCCCAGCTTGGAGTCTGAGCTCCTCTGCCTGCCTGTTCTGCTCACTTCTTGTTTACTTCTGAGGCTGAGAGCTGTGGAAGCCTTGTTGGTAGGTGGGACAGCAAATATTCCCCTTAGCAACCTCTGGGACTAGTTTTTCTGAAGGTGTTACCCACAAAATGGATTGATTCTGTTCCTTTTAACCTCTGGTCCATCTTATTGAAAGGTGTTTAAAAGCAGGGCTGGCTTTTTCTTCTTTGTATGACTTCTGGCATGCAGGAGGGGACATAAGCTTCGTGATACTTCTGTGCTTTATTTGCTACCTCTCCCTGAAAGGCCCACTATATAGACTCTAACGTCTTCACTCAGCTGCCCTGTCTGCAACTGGTTCTGATAAGTGATTCTGTGATTACAGGCAGACTCAGGCAGGGTTGTATGATGAGAAAAACATTAGACTGAAGAGGTTCCTCCTAGGCTCTAGATGAATTCACCCCTGCAAATAGTCATACTGAGATCCAGAGGTTAAGTGAAAATAGGGATGACTACTTGAATTAAGGACAGGCCACAGATTGCTCAGTACCAGAGGGATACCTGAGGGCACCTGACTCAGGATGCATTAGACAGGCACTGCCTGGCAATAGGCAGAGAGACAAGTTCACTAGTTAGTCTTAGAAGCCAGTAGCTTAACCGGACATGATGCAAGCCTGTAATCCCAGCATTGGGAGATGGAGGGAGGAAGATCAGGAGTTTAAAGCCAGCCTGGCTACATGAAGCATGGTAAATAAAACAAGTGTGTGTGTGACAGAAAAGGAAGCCAGTAGCCTGGATTGTCTACCAGGCAGATTCTGTTCAGAATTATTTGCCAGCCAAGTCTCTTGATCCCCTCCTAAGTCAAGTGTTGAGACAGCAAAAATCACTTCTGGAGAAGACCTGTGTGATTTGGGAGCATTGCTTCCCTCAGACTTGGTGCTCCCTTGCTTGGCTTTCTTGGAATGCTATAGTACTTGCATCATTCTCCTCTGGCATTATATTTCTGTTTCGAGGTTGTGTGCCTGCCTGCTCCTCTCTGAGGACCTCTAGCTCTGGTTGGATGCTGTCTCTGCTCGAGCTTGTCAGCATATTTGCTTGAATTTCTAACTCTGTTTTCAAGTTGGGCTCAGTTTCTGGAAAACCATGGATTGAGTCCAGCCACTCCCAGGAAGTAGGGTGGCCTTGAGAATAGGGACTCTGTGTTTCCTCTACATGGGGATCTGTTGGCTGTAGTTACTGTTAGGCATTGACAATCTACAATTTTGCCTTGGGATATAGAGGGTAGTACACAGAGGGGATTCCCTTCCCTGGATTGTCATTATATAAGCAGCCTGGAAGGCAGGCGGGTAGAGCAGCCCTGTAATTTCAGTACTCTAGTGGCTAAGGTAGAGATAGCCATGCCGGGCGGTGGTGGCGCACGCCTTTAATCCCAGCACTCGGGAGGCAGAGGCCGGCGGATCTCTGTGAGTTCGAGGCCAGCCTGGGCTACCAAGTGAGTTGGCGCAAAGCTACACAGAGAAACCTTGTCTTGAAAAACAAAAACAAAACAAAAAAACAAACAAACAAACAAAAAAAAAAAAGGTAGAGATAGCCTTTTTGTTTAAAAATTTTTTTTGAGATGGTCTTGTATCCCAGGCTGGCCTTGAACTTAGTAAGTAGCCAAGGGTAACTTTAAACTTTTATTCTTCGCTCCACGTCTAGAGCACTTGGATTGCAGGCACATGCCAATACACCATTTATGTGGTGCCATAAAGTGACAGCTGTAAGTAAGCATGCTCTTCAAGTACTCTAGTCAGCTGAACTATACTCAAGGAGGATCCTAACTTGGATGGCTGACGTAGTTTCACTTCTGACCAAAAGCAGTTAGGAGAGGAAGGGTTAATTTGGCTTACTCTCCATTATTGAGGAAGTTGAGGGACCAGCTCAATGAAGCTAGTTACATCATATCCACAGTCAGGAGTGGAGCGGATTTGAGTGCACCCATGTTGCCTGCTTGCTAGTTTTCTATTTAGCTTTCTCTGACTTTTGAACTGTTCAGGACCCCTTGACTAGGGGCTGGATTGTCTTATATCAATTAAGACAATTAAGTGTTCCCTGGATAGACCCATAGGCCAACCTGATCTAAATAATTCCTCAGTTAGACTCACTTCCTATGAGGTTGGCAAGATAACTCAGCAGGTAAAGGTACTTGCTGCCAAACCTGTTGATCTGAGTTTGGTCCCTAGAAACCCACATAGTAGAAGGAAAAAACCAATTCTTGCAAGTTCAAATAAAATACTTTAAAAAGCCCTCTCCTCAGTTTCTAAGTTGTGTTAGGTTGACAAATTAAAACCAACTAACACAGTGGCCAGCCTGGTTTATGTAGTGAGATTCTGTCTCCAAAACCAAATGAGGGATTAGCGAGATTATAGCAGTTAAGAAGAGCACTTGTTCACAGCCGCCAATAACTTCAGTTCCAGGGGAGCTGATGCACTCTTCCAGCTTCCTTGAGCACCAGGCACATACATGGTGCACTAACATACATACAGGCAAACCACTCGTACATATAGAGTAAGAGCACTTTCTGCTTCTTAGGGAACTTGAGTTCACCTCCCAGCGGCTCTAGACGCAGGGGAATGTCAGTTGTACTTGCCTTGTGTCTTGTTGGTGTGGTTCAGAGAGGGGGAGAGAGGGGTGGAAAATGGAGATGAGGGCTTTGGGCCAGCAGCACTGCTCTTTCTGTGTTGACTGAGGAAATTGTTTGTTAAAAAGCAATCC